AGGCAAAAAAGCAAAGTAACCATCTGTGAAGGGCAGATGGAAGGAAAAAGGAGAGGAATTAGAAAAAAGATAGTTCAAATTTTTGACTCATTATGACTATTCCTCTAATTTGAGAAGGCACAATTAAGGTGTATTTGTTTACAACAATGGATCTAGTTCTTTTTCCATCCCGGAAAATGTCATCGATCTTGAAGAATGGCCTTTCTTTTTAACAAAACTAACTGAAAAGGCATTTTTGGCCGTGAAAAATAAATGCTTACGTTAGCAGCAAAAAATTAACTATGCAGTTCTCCTTGAAGAGAACATTCCTATTCCTTCTTGAAATTTTAAATCAACACACAGTAGTTAACCTTCAAAAAAGTCACATGTATGAACCTCCTCAAAATTCTATCTACGTTCAGAAAAATTTCCATGCTAGGATATTCTACAAATACTGAAGTTTTTGTCCTGGAAAAAACACACTACTCTAGGGTTTCCTTAATTGCACTTTAAATGTAATTTACCTACCTTGCTTGTCCGAATCATCGTAAGCTACTTCCCTAAGAGCTAAACTGCTTTAGATATAAACGGTAATTACTGAAAGTCACATCACAGTCATGGCCACAAGCTGGCACTGCTGTACGAGGCTGGCGGTAAACACGGACACTGGCTCCCACGGATACTAAAAGCCCACAGTCTGCTTGCTAACTTTGAGACCTAGCCTGATTCTTATCAGGTCGTGGCTGAAAAAGTTCAATTCAAACGCAAGCCAGTCTAGACTGTGAGTGCTATTATTCGTGCTATTTCTGTTCAGTGGCATCAAATGTATCACGATTATATGTGGAAGAGCTAGTAAGGATGCCAGCAACTTGTTTAAGGAACATATCTTTTTGAAAGCTCACCAAACAAATTACATTTTAAAGTTTTGTAAGATCTGGGAGACTATCAAGCCCATAATTAGGTAGTCTGTGAATAGAAATATACTCTATGAAAATAGTGTTAATCATCTAAATACACATACAAAATGAAAAATTATCAATCTGTATATGAAATTTAGGGAAGCCCAATTCAGATATCAGTCAAAAACTATGATAAGTTAGGGGCTGGGGCCAGTCTTCCTTTTTATTAAAGATTGTGCTACTTAGAATTATCTAAGTAAAATGATTCATGCCTAAAAGTTTTTCTAGTATTTTGTAAGCACCTCAATAACTCAGAAGTACTTTTAAATATCAATATGCTATACTCTGGTTTCTCTTCAGATCGCATAAATATCAATATGCTAATCATAAATACTTCAGATAATTTAGTTAGTACAATCAACCAGTTCAAATAATTAAACTAAGAAATATTCAATTAAGACTATTTTATGTCAGTCTAAGACTCAAAAGCAATCTATCTGATTTATCTTTATTACTCAGCTACTCAGATGTTTCAGTGAGTCACCGGGTCTCCCCTGGAGGCAGGTGGCATACACAGAGCCATGATCATCGCTGAATACATGTATGGCATTAAAGCTTTCTGAAGGGCTCTGTGGTCCTGCTTCCTCATCTGGAAAATGGTTACCTCGCAAGGTTACTGTAATGTACTAAATAAGTTAATAGATATGGTCTGGGGATCTAAAAGTCACTATAAGAATGTTTGGAACACTTCCAACACTTCAAATTAGTCATATTTTGCTTATGCTAAGTGCATATGATGTTTGGTTTTCTGTATGATTTTTGCCATTTGTATTCCAGAGGGCAGTTATATTAATTTTTTTTTCAAGTATTTACCTTTAAAATGATTCACGGAACAAATACAGAACATTCACACTATAAAACCCCTAAATATATACAAAGGGAACACTAACACAAATCACATAAAAAAAGGGCAAAGACAGAACTTTAAAGCTCAAAGGTACCTCAGAGGCCTTTTAGTCTTTTCCTCCCACTTTAGAGGTTACAAACTGAGGTCAACATAGGTGTGACTTACTAACATTGCACATATCCCTCATCCAGAGTTTCTAATAGAGCCTCTGAGAATTATTAAAATAAATTACATTCCCCATTTAAAAAGCCACAGAGTGACAGGATGACCAGGTAAAGAAATGCCAGAATGAAAAGGTGGAGGTCTTTAAACACGAAAAAGGACAAAACTGTGAAGATGTTTAGCATTTAGATATTGAGATTTCACAGCCATTACCAGGATTTAAATTCCTAACCAGTGAATAGACAAAGATACAGTGTCCATGGTAGGCACATTCTAAGCTTTTCTACTTTATAGATGGAAGATACAGTGCTTATATTAACTGAGCATACTGCACATTAGAAGCAACAAATTCAAACAGTCAAAAAACCTGTAACTTTTTTTTCTGATTATTTTCTCAATTATGTCTCATCTACTATAAAAAACCAGTTTATGTTCCCTGAGTACAAACTGGCTAGAGAATAAGAAAAAGCAAGCCCACAATTATGTGACTACTACGGGAACCCTATTTGCAGAAAATGGAGAATTGTCTGTACTACATACAGCCAATTCCCTGACACAGAAATACCATTACTTCTGATTAATTTAGGCTCCTATATTCTTCTTATATTTGGCTAATATCAAGGAACGCAAACACTTGAGGTTACAAAAGTGTGTCAAAAGTCTGTTGTTCAAAACAAAAACCCAACTTCAAATAGTTTGCCTACCTCCCTATTCAGTCCAAGATGTTATCTGGTTCCTACCTTAAAAGATAACAGCAATCAGATCCAAATATGATGTCCTATATAAAAGTGTTTACAAAATGTTCACTGACTACACATTTGGAAATTGAGAATCAATGTCTTGAACTCACCGCCCACAGAGCCATAAGCTCTAGTCTCTTAGGCCTTTAGTCACTAGTCTCTTAGGCCTTTTCTTTTACAAGTAATCTTGTTTAAGGTTTTTTAGCTATCAGCTCAACACAACACAGAATAAATTCTGCTCCCAAACAGTTACCACAACCTGATTTAAGAAGATCAAGGTGCTATGAAACACATCCCCCCCCCACACACAATTCTGTTTAGTCCAGCATTTATCCACAGGTTAAAATGAAATTTTTCTGATTTTGAACCATATTCTCTCCAACAACTGATGAGAAAAGAGATCTTAATTCTATTCTTAACTACTCTAATTATAGCAACCTGGGACAAAGTATTTTCCAATACTTTCCAAAGTACTTTCCCAAAGGATATTAAGTTTAAAATATAGTTAATTTGGGCAAAGCAGGGTTAAAGTTAAATGGTTTTCCTTTTTTTCACTGAAGGACGTTTCAGAGTCTTTAATGTTCATAATCTCTTGTCATCCTCAAGCAGGAGAGGAACATGTAACATTTTCCAAATTTGCTCTACGGACTCGTTTTTCAGCAGACCACCTCAAGGGAATCCGTTTGGGAGTGCTATTGTAGAACTTATGGAGTCCATTTCCATGATGTGACTAAGTCTTTGTAACCTAATAATAGAAGCTCTCCTCCAGAATCTTTTTTTTTTTAATGTTTATTTTTGAGAGAGAGAGAGAGAGAGAGAGAGAGAGAGAGAGAGAGCGCGCGCGCACTTGGGGGAGGGGCAGAGAGAAAGGGAGACACAGAATCCAAAGCAGGCTCCAGGCTCTGAGCTGTCAGCATAGAGCCTGACAAGGGCTTGAATCCATGAACTGTGAGATCATGACCTGCGCTGAAGTCAGATGCTTAACTGAGCCACCCAGGCGTCCCTCTCCTCCAGAATCTTAACTGGAAATTCCTCCTATCCCAGATCTAACTACCACATACCACAGCTACAGTTAACCAGCTTACAAGACTGAAATGTGGGAATTTAGCAACTGATTCTTTCCCTCTTCTAATTAGCAACAAAAGCTTCCTAGGACAATGTTCTAGCCCCTTTTATTAGAAGCTGGACTGAGCCCCCTGCAATCTTCTCTATACAAAGCAATTTACTACACCTTCTAGATTCACAGAGTAGCTGTACTTTAAAATTGAAGCATACAACAACCCAAACTGCAACCCTGGTTCTCCTAAAATTCAACAGGTAACCATCAGAGTGTGAAAATAGTAAGTATTTTAAATTCTCAATAAACATGATAAACATCCATATAAAATAATTTTGATGTAAGTTTTTAATATGTGACTTACAGAGCTAAAATGCCACTGTAGTCCTTGCTGCTGCTTTTCCACCTTCAAAGTTATTAGAGATTTTGTCCCTGGGGATAGAACTCCTCAGATTAACTCCTTATTTCTAAGGTCACCCATTCATAGTCAAGCAAATATTATGAGGCGGTCCTGTTTTTCCCAAAAGAGGTATTTACACATTTAGAGAGGCCAAAATTATGCCCTAAGCAAAATACACAGCCAGACTGCTTTCCCTGTAAAAACAACTACAGAAAGTACCCTTTGACGCCACTAGATGGCAGTCTTTCAAAGGCTTAAACTTAAAACAGTTTAATGTAAACCCACCCCTCTTTCCTACACTGGTGAACAGATTCCTTTCAATATTAAGTCAGATTTAAAAGTTCTTAACACCATTTTAAAAAAGTCCTATAAACCAATATGATGTGACACACTACAAACTCCTGACTCAAAACTACTTAAAGACAGACATGCTGATCTTCCATAAACACAAGAGGAACTTATCCTAACATTTTCATTTGCTTCTTGGTAGAAAACATCATTTTTGGCAAAGAGAAACTTGGTTTTCAAGAGCTTAATCTGTTCTGGGGTAAGTCAGGTGAATGACAGTGTTAATTACAACACATTAAACAAATGAATAGATAAATACAAATTAGATAAATTACACATAATTTAAAAATTAAATACTTTCACTAAAACAATATAAGCAATGAGCTATTATTATCTACTGTGCTGTATATAGATAGGTTTCTTTTCAAACTTTAAAAAATAAAACCTGCACAAGGCAAAACAAAGAAACTGTTTGGTTTTCCTTTAAAAGCACTGGTGTGTGAATACATATTTGTATATATGTAAACAACACACATTTATTCGAGAGTTTTTTTGTTTTTGTTTTTTAAATGTTTAAGGCTTCCCTACCCAAACAGCCCAACAGTCAAGGTCAGAGACTATTAAGCTTTGGAAGTACACAAAAGCCCTTAGGGCCAGAACAGTGTTTTCAAACTGGATGGCTAGAACCAAGATAGAGAACACAGAAAGGGAACCAGAAAAAAGCTAAGTCAATCAGCCACTAAGGATCAAACAACGAAGACAATGGTGGTGGGAAGGTTAGGGAGGGGAACAGCTGCTATGACAAATTTGAACTTCAAATGAAGAATGAGCATTGTGGGATACAACAGGACAGACACAAAACTCTCCACCACATACATTAAATCAAAGATAAGAGTTCTCTTTTAAGGGACTGTTGATATTTTGCTTTGTTTCATTTAACTGTCTACTTTATCATGCCTAGTGAAATACAAAAATAGAGCCAAAAATAATTTGAGAAAGGTACTTTTGAAGGCATGTTTTAAAATGATGTTAAGGTTTTTCTAAAAATGATATAACATTTATGAAAAACACAAAAGTTGCTGCCATTCTGGATGTTCCAACACTGAGTAGAACACTGAAGGCTCTTAAGATAGTTATTCAAGGATATCTCCCAGCCAGTAGCTGATTATAGCTGTTTTTAAGCAACCTGGAAAAACCAGTTACCTGTTTCAGGACCACAGCCCTTCTGTTAAACAATAGGCAGTATCTGCAAACACTAAAGCTACTCGAAGAACTTGGCTTCTGAAATTTGGGGGACAAGCCTTTAAGATTTCAACATTTAAATACTAATTTACTAATGGCCGTATTATTTTTTTTAATCTTCTTGTGCAAGAGAACGGGATGCATCAACCCAACTTAAAGCCTGCTTCACTTTTTAGGAAGCAAACTGGATTTACCTACATTAAATAGTAGAGCAAAGAGGTGTTGCCAAACTATCCTTTGATGAGACGGTTCACGGGTGAAGGTGCATTAATCATCTGTAGTGAACTCACAATTTCAAATTAACAATCTTCACCGACATTCACCTACTAAAGACACTGCCTATGAATTCATCATAGGCAAAACAGAATTACAGATGTCTACAGGTAAATAAAATGTCAGACGTTTTTTGTTTTCAGTAATGTCAATGGCATTGAGTGTCCCCTGGAAATATTCATGACTCTCGATCAGTATTCCAGAGGATGTGACACCCATAAGTAAAATAATGATTTTAAGAATATATCTGATTTTCACAGTGCAATAACAAAGACAAACTAGAGAAACATCATCAACGGGCCAAAGTAGTGATCAGACTAGCACACATTTCAAAAAAATCCATGGTGTGACTGCCTAGGCGAGGTGAAACAGAAGACAGTGTGCTTCCTGTCAAGGAGCCAGTAAGAGAGCCAGAGAGTGAATGACTCTCTGCTGTTACAGAATCAAAACTTGATCTGGGTCTGTGTAAGCCAGCAGCGGAACAGGAACGCTGAGGTGTTGACGAACCAGACCTCTGCTCCACCACCTCATCTGAAATGAACCAAAGAAGAGCAAATTACATGAAAGGTGTACTTGTCTGAGACCTTCCTCTGAAGATGCTACATTCAGAACATTGAGGAAACACATCTGAACAAGCGCAACTTAATGGATGTCATGTTTCAGAGTTCGGGGAGCAGGGGTGGCAATACCCCTTTCCTCCCACTGTCACAAGACATCACTAACCAATCACAACACTGACACGGTCAAAATGTCACCCCTAAATCCTTCTCCGTATAGTATTTGGCCTCAGCCTTGAAATCAGATTGATAACCAATAGGAAGGAAGCACATCCTTGGAGGATTATTTTCTTGCAACATACCAACAAAAGGTATCACTAAAAAAAAAAAAAAAAAAAGTTGCCATTCTGCACATTCAGTGCACACTGCAATTGATTGCCTGGAGGAGGGGCAAGGAAAATCTTGTTAAAAGTGAAGACTTCCAATTTCCCAGGACTCACCTCTAGAGATTCTGATTTGGTAGATACGGGGGTAGTTCCCAAGTATTTGCATTGTAGTAAGAATGCTGGGCAATTCTGATAATGGTGGTCAGGGACGAAATAAATACTGCTATCGTTGGTGGTAGTTCAAGAACGAAATTTAACTATTCTGTTGAAAACAACCTCCCCAACTTTGAACTCAGTTCTACTCTTGTCCATTCGGCACCTAACCCATGGCTTACTGTTTTTATCCCACTTGGCCCTCTGAACTCAACAACCCCATTCGGTTCATGAAGGTTTGACTTCTGTCACATTAAGTACTTAGACACAACCCAGACCACCTCCCAATTCCTTCGTCTCCTGGACATCTGGGGCAGACCAAATGGGCTGACTCCAAGCAAAAGCCCATTTGGCCAACCAGGATGAGGGAAGTTGATAAATAGGCAAGTTTAGCTATTACAACCCTAATGGTAATAACATATGAATGGAGAAATGTGACAAAGAACCTGACAACATCAGACAAGTTTAGGTAAAAATTACTTCCCTGTAATTCCTTACTTTGCTCCCACAGCCAGCACTTTAAGTGACTTTTTTATGCTAAGGAGGCACTTCTTTTGAAGAGGTGCTGGATTAGAGATATTCCACATGTCTTCAATCCTTTTCATTTCACTTACATTTTTAGTTAACTCTAGATTACTAAAATACCAGTACAGAAGACCTACCCACCATGTCTTTGAGATGATTTTAACATCTTGTCAACTAGCGCCAAGTTTTATCTTCTCAGAGCTCATGCCTGCATAGCTTCCTTACCATCAATGCTTTTAAAGTCCAAAAGATAGCTTCTGTTGTCAACCAGGTAAAGTTGTAAGCTCATTTTCACATAATTGCCAGTCACTGGATTTTTCCTTCTTACACGAAGATGGTATGCATTCACTACCTAAAATGGGAAATCTTTTTTTAAGGAAAAATGTTAAAAATAACAAACTACAAAATATCTTCCTATTCTTATTGCAAACAGCCACGACTGATAGAGGTGGGGTAGAAAAGGAATTCCTGAATGACCTTTTTTTTAAAATATATATTACATAACAGCTTCATATTGACTTAATCTCTACTGATAGTACTGTGTGTGCAGAGCAACTGAAACCTAAAGGGAATGCAGGGATTATAGAGTGTCTTAGCCCTCATTCTAGATATGCCCCCACTCTAACACATCAACAGTAATTCTGGTTACCCAGCCTCAATTTGAATACTTCTCCCTATTAATATGGAGTAGAAGGAATAAAAAAGAACCAATATGTTAATGGTTTGCATTCAGCAGTATAAATAGGTACTGTCACAGAATTTAAGTATTGCAATAATCCTGTGAAGAAGTATTATTTGCCTTGGGAAGATAAGACAACTGCAGCTCAGAAAAAAGATGATCCTGGGTTTTCAAAACATCTGTCAAGTTAGTTCAAACTTTTTTTCAGTATGGAATTTTAAAGACATTAATGTCTCTCTTTTCACTGAATTGCTTCAGAAATGTTTTTAAATGATTTTAATGAAATATTATTTTGTTTATTCATTTCATGTACCAATAAAATGAAAAGGACTGATTTTTCAAACATGTCAAATGAATATATGCATGGTGTATTTGAATGTTTTTCTTCTTCCTTTAAAAATACATTCACAGCTTTCAAGAAAGGAACAAGAGTGAAAAAGGATATCTGAGATGGGGGAAAAATGCTTTTCCTTCCACCTATACTCAAATAGACTTATAATGAATTTGAGCACTAATTTGAAAAAAGGAAAACTGGGGGCTGAGAGTAAGAAAAACATACCATAACTAAGGATTAAAAGCACTATACAAATAAAAGAGATCTTCTCAACCTAGAGAAAGATATTTGTTGACTGAAGAAATTTATCCTGATGGTATCCTCTGTATTGACCACTAGCTGCTATAGTTAGTGGGAAAAAGAAGAAATGAGAACAAAAAGTTAAACATAGCATCGTTGAAGACACATGACTTTTTATTGCTATGATGCAGGAGAAAACAGATGGACAATTTTCTCAGGCGATTTCAGGTTGATGACGTTCTCTTTCTTGGCCAAGAATGCTAGTCGCTAATTCAAAAATATCAGAGGTCCCCAGCATCGACAACTCTTCATCCTTAAACTTTAGTTTTGAATGTACATGGTACATTAATGAGGAAAATGGGGTTTATCATCCAGAAGCAAGATGACCACAAAATTTGTATCTAAATCAAAATTTCTATTGACCCTAAGAACTCAGTAGTTCAGAACAGCTTAGTATACAAAAACACAAACACAAAAAGCAAACAAAAACCAAAAAAACAAACCTTTTACAAACGATCTTAATATACTGCCATCTCCTACCTTCCATTCAAAATCCAGCTGCTTCATAGCTCGGTAGACTTCGGCCATAATGTCATATGGTTTGCTTTGACTTCTGATTCCAAGATGCCACTTGGCTTTTTTCACAGCTAAAGATTTGGGCTTAGTTGTATTCAGCGCATCCAATGGACATCTTGCTTTAGGGCTGTCTGCTATAAGAGGTGGCATCCTTTCTGGATGAGGCTTCAGGCCTGGGGGAATATGCATGGTACTATCATCCATAAAAGAACCAGTTGGGGGACTAGAGGCGAGGTAGAACTCACTGGCTTGGTTCATTATTCTCCGATTGTCAATGATAAGATGATAAGCCACTGCAAGCTGGTCTTGAGGGTCACCACTATATAAACTGTTCATTACTTCTGATTCTGTACACTCAAATTTTTCACACACTTCTTTCACAGCCTCATCATCAATGACGTTAGCATCATAGGAGGGGTCTTCAGGAAATAAGTAACTGGGCAAATCTTGTTTAAACCATTCATGCTCTCTAGGAAAAATACCACAATACACTATTGTAAGAACATGCTTTGGCAAGTCCCAAGTAATTTATACACGGGGCAATACAATATAACAGAATCAGGAAGACCTGTTCTCTGTGTGACCCTGGCTAAGTTAACTAACCCCCACCCTTGAATAGCTATGGCTATTCAGGCTTAGGTATTTGGCTGAAATTTTCTCAGAGCCTGTCACTTCAAAGGAAACTGGCAGTGTTTGTTGCCAATGATAAAGTTCAAGCTTTAAAGCAAAGTTTTAGAATTTTACACAATTTGTATCTGCCTCTACTGGTTTGACAGCTTCCTACGAAAGACTTTGCTAGTAACTTTATAGTGGTAACAATGAAAATGATTTCTAATATTGTATAATGAACATGTCACCATTTGGAAAATCTTTCTAACTCAATAACCCAGTATTTTCAAAATGACCAACACATGAGGTTACAAAATCATACAAGGATAAAACATCCACAGAACACAAAAGCAACCTGTTAATTTTAATGTAATATAGGACAAAAGTAGGCTGATACCTTTTCTCATTTGATATTGTAACTAACACGTTAAGCTTTGGCTTAATACCAAGAAGAATATCACAACCATCTAAAAGACTATTAAAAATGTGCTTCCCCTTCCAACCACTTACTTGATGTCAGATTTTCTTCATAGACTGCAACTAACATACAACACATTGCAACAGACTGAATGAAGACAGAGACAGAAGAACCTAGCCACTGTTTCTGATTAAGCCCAACACTTAAGAGAATCTGAAAATGTAAAATAATGCCACTCTTGTTACCATTTTCTTTTTGGTTATTTTTCAGAAAAGATATTTATTTAGATTAACATGTAGTAGCTTTAGTGTTATTTTTAAGTCAATTAAATGTTTTTTTAAGTTTCTCAGATATTGACATAACCTGCATTAAAAACACAACTTTTTAGAATTCTCAATTTTAAGACTGTAAAGGAATACTAAAACCAAAAAATTTGATAATCACTCTTCTAAATTTTATTTTCTCACACTTCTGGGCCTTTGTACATAATTTACTGTAACCATCCTAGAATATCCCATCCCTTTTCATCCAACTAACATGTACTATTCCTTTGAGACTGCACAAGCATTACTATTGGTAGAACTGGGCACCCCCTAAGCTAAATTCAGATCAATATATATTTTACTTGAATGCCTTGTATTGACTGTTTCATTTATGAATATTAACTAAGGGTATACAATGATGGGGCACCTGGGTGGCTCAGTTGGTCAAGCATCTGACTCTTGATTTCGGCTTAGGTCACGGTCTCACAGTTTGTGGGTTTGAGCTCCATGCTAACCGAACAGAGCTTGCTGGGGATTCTCTGTCCTCCTCTCTCTCTTTCTCTGCCCCTCCCCTGCTAACACACTCTCTCTCTCTCTCTCTCTCTCTCTCTCTAAATAAGTAAACATTTAAAAAAAATTTTAGGGGTGCTTGGGTGGCTTAGTTGGTTGGGCGTCCGACTTCAGCTTAGACCACAATCTCACGGCTTGTGAGCTTGAGCCCGGCGTCGGGCTCTGGGCTGACAGCTCAGAGCCTGGAGCCTGCTTCGGTTTCTGTGTCTCCCTCTCTCTCTGCCCCTCCCCGACTTGTTCTCATTCTAAGATAAACATTAAAATTTTTTTTAATAAATAAATAAAAATAAGTTTTAAGGTTATCCTATGGCAAAAGGACTCTCATCCTCACAGAGATTATATTCTAGCTGAATACAGATAAAATATTCACAAAAATAAATATACAGTTACAAATACACAAACATGAAAATCCTGTGATAAAGATTCTAGGTGGAAAGCACAGTGTAAAATAAGAATGTAAAAATCACAACGGGATGCGTGTAATTAGGGAAGCTACTCTGAGTGGTATTTAAGCAGATAACAGAATGATTAGAAATCAGCTAAGCAAAGAGCTACGAACAGGTATTCCCAGGAAAAGAAACAATATATGTAAAGACCGAGATAAGAAACAGCTGTGCCATGTTCAAGGAGCAGGAGGACTGAGGCCACTGCCATGAAAACATGAGTTGCAGGTTAGAGGGTCAAAACATACCAGATATTTCTGACAGCTGTAGGCTGTAAGAAAGATTTTGGGCCGAGAACGTATGCCTGATGAAAATCACTGAAAGAATTGAGAGACAGGGATGACAGTGACATGACCTAATTTGCATTCTATAAAGATCATTCTGCTTGTGATACAGAAATTGAATTGAAAAGACAAAAATAATGATGATGTTGATGATGGTGTGCCAGGCCCCGAGGGTGATCCAAAGATGAATCTTCTATAGCCTCTAGTAGATCTTTGTATTTAACACTCACACTTTCTTATAGGTGTTGATTTTTTTTCTGAATCTTACCCACTAAACTCAGAGCTCCTTGAAACAGGGATCATGCCTTATTTAGCTATATTCCATTACCCAATACAGTGTAAACAAATGCTCAGTAAATGCAAAATAAATAAATGATGAATACATTAAGTATGAAAACCGAAATGAATTCATTAAATGTGTTTGTTTCCTGTATCAGACTAAGTACCCAAGGCTTAATAATAAAAATGTGAGATGTTAATTTTTTTCAAAAGAAAGAGAACATAAGAAATTATATGTCTAACATTTTTAAAACATCAATGACAAATAGGGAAGATGAGCACTTTTGAATGAACTCCAAAAATTCACTCTTCCATACAGGCATTAAGATTACTAGCAAAAATTATCAAAGTCGACTTTTCCAGTACTCTGGAAATTAACCAAAAGCCTGCAAAAACCTTAGAAGTATTTACTCAGGAAAACAGCTGAGTAAAAACAATGAGATGTGGGACATTTTAAACTGCCCTATATCCATCTTCCTTTCTCCCATTTTCCATGGTAGCCTTGAAAACCAACAGCGTCACAATCATGGTAGCCCAGAAAACTGGCAGCCTAGCAACCACTAAGGGGAAAAAGGTTTGGAATTAGAGCAGAATAGGTTTAGAATTCTCCAAAGTCCTAGCCCCACAGAACTGTCACTATTTGACATGTCTTGCCGTTCCCTGAAAATCTCCACTTTGCAAGCCTGGTCTTGATCCGACCTGATTCAGAGCTCCCTCACTGCAAACAGCCTTCTCCCCAGGACACTTGTCAAAAACAACCAATGGCAACTGTCTCACATCCCTGCTGCCTAAAGAGGCAATAAGAGTTGGAGCAAGTAAGAAGCTAACCAAAAACCTTAAAATGAAAACTTCAGGAATAAGGGTTCCACTGGGATCTTTGAAATACTGTAATACATTCCTGGGACTAAAGAAGGCCATGTACATATGCAGGGCTGTAAGCATGCCCAAGAAAGACCCTAATTTCTAATTAGTGGCTCACTTGGAGCCTCGATGCTGACAGAGAGTAAAGCCTAAAGCCGGGTTAACGAGCTTCTCGTTGGAGCAATGAATGGAGACATGCGCACGGAGTCTCTCAGCAAAGGCTGGGAGACTTATTAGATCAAGACATTCAACGGAAGCTCTAATAATTAGCTGACCATTAAGCTAACCAAGCAGAGATTTCAGGGGTCAACCATGACAAAGAATAAAAAATTTATGGAATTAGTTCAATAAAATCACTCAACAAGAAGAGCAGCAACAACATACAAGAATTACAAACTCTAGGCATACACCCACAAGAAATGGAAACGTGTGGCCATAAAACACTTGTACACAGATGTGCATGGCAACGTTATTCTTAAGAGCCAAAAAGTGGAAACAATTCAAGTATCCACTAACTGATGGATGGATAAACAAAATGTAGTATATCTATACAATGGAGTATTGTTCAAGGAAAAAAAGGAATGAAGAACTGATAGATGCTACATCATGAATGAACCTTGAAAACATTATGCTATGTGAATGTAGCAGGACTCAAAAGGCTACATGCTCTATGATTCTGTGTATATGAAACTTCCAAAATAGGCAAATAGGTAAAGGCAGAAAGTAGATTACTGGCTTCCAAGGGATAAAAGGAGGGGAAAACATGTAATGACTGTTAAAGGGTATAGAGTTTCTTTTAGGGAATTAGAAAATGGTGATGACTCTACAACTTGGCGAAAACACTGAGAACCACTGAATTACAGAATTTAAAGGAGCAAACTTATGCTATATGAATTACACTAATAAAATAAATAAATGCTTAAAAATAATAACTAGAGAAATAATGTACATTTTTAATTTTTTTTTTTTGATACTTATTTCTTTTTGAGAGACAGATCATGGGTCAGGGAGGGGCAGAGAGAGGGAGGGAGACACAGAATCCAAAGCAGGCTCTAGGCTCTGAGTGGTCAGCACAGAGCCCGACATGGGGCTCAAACCCACGGACCACAACATCATGACCTGAGCTAAAGTCCGACGCTTAACTGACTGAGCCACTCAGGTGTCCCCACATTTTTTTTTAATTCATTCATTTAGACAAAGGACCATAATTCTTTACCATAAGAAAACTGCCAGTTAAAAAGTCATACTCCCAGTTTTTGATTTTCAGGAGTCAATTCCTCAATTAACTCTATCAATGGAACCAGTAACCAGAATGTTTATGAGGGTTCGCCCGAGACAAAATCAGTTCATTTCCCATGTGTTACTACTGCACAGCCATCAGAAATTAAGTCTTTCTATCACTATTATCTGATACCCAATTTTGATACATGACTTAACACTAAATGAGTTATGGAGACACATGAAAATGAAAACACAACCATCTAAAATCTCTTTAAAAAAAAGCAATTCTAAGAGGGAAACATATAGCAACACAGGCCTACCTCAGTAACTAAGAAAATAAATAAATACACACTCAGATAAACAATCTAACGTTCCTCCTAAAGGAACCAGAAAAAGAAGAACAAAGTCTAAGGTGAGTTAGAGCATATAATAAAGATAAGATTAGAAATAAATGACATAAGGACTACAAAACAATAGAAAAAAAATAAATGAAATCAAGAGCTGGTTCTTTGAAATGATAA